TAACCATTCTTTTTCTAAGTTAATTGAATTGTGTGGGGACTGCGGCATCAGTATTTCTTAAAGGGTACTCCAGGTTGCTAATCAATGTCATCCGAAAGAGATTTGTCACAATTTTGGAAAGAGTCTCATTAGGCTTGGTGGAAACATTAAAGAACATGAGAATTCAATGTTTGTTGTTGTTTATGTTGTTTTAATTATCCCCATCACAACTCTGGTGGAGTTATTCTACTGTTTCCACTTTTTGCTTATAAAAGGAATATCCAGAATCAGATAAAAAATTCATGCATTAGAAAAGAGAATTTAGGAAAAAGTAATTTTGTCTGTCACCCCCTCACCGTCTTAGCACCTAATCCTCAACACCCATAGCCCCATTGCCATGTATTCTTCGATGACTTCAACTTTGAGATGAACTCATTAGATATTCTACTGCCACAGAAAACAGAAGGCTTCCTACAAAGTGACAGTATGGATAAATTTAAAGTGGGATCAATAGTTATTTGTTTCTGCAATTTTCCCAAAGAATAACAGCATAAATACTAATAAAAATTAGTTATTACATGTGGTAAACTCCTTCAAAATTTGTATCTATTACCCCAATATAGGAAGTCAGTTGATTTAATCACCTGGAACAAAGAGCTGCATCACCCTGTTGTACTGATCAGAATGATCTGTTACTCAGAAATTATACATCTTATTAGACATTAGTAAACATTATTAAAAACATGTTATAGCTATTATATGTGGATTAGTAACATCTGCTTCTTAAATTTACCAGTCAAAATTATCTCATATATTTTAATATGGTGTTGAACTTTGATGGTGGGGTCAATTCACTCTTTACCTAAAATCCTTTGAAAAAAACGAACTCGGCCCTATCAACACATCTCTTGGAGAAATATCTTGGACACTAACCAGATACAAACTTTTCTAGGTCGGCATTTTGGTCAGATAAACATCTACCATCTGCCAATTTAATTTCTAAAGATATGTTTTCCACTTAATCAACAGTAGTCCCCCCACTCTCAAAATTAATATAATCTCAAAATGCCTATTATACATTTTTTTAATCTAAAGTTCAGTACTACGTTTGGAGGATTTTTTAATGACAAGCAGTTCTCCATTATTTCTACAAGGTTTATCCTTTTAAAAAGTCAAGCCATCAGAAAACAAGGTACTTACACTATTTTAGCTAAACTAGAAGTGGCTTTACTGTGACCGAAACGTACATCTTGTTTCTCATCATGAGGGTTCGCGTGGGGTGCCAGGCCCTTAAGAGGCCCAGAATACATATTTTAGGGGAGAGGGGAAGAGAGGAGGAGAGAGGGAGATGGTTCTAAAAAAAAAAGATTGTGATGAAACTGACTCATTTGTTGTCTATAACACTATTCAACACGTTTTCCTTTTGTAAAGATACATATGCAAAATTTCTTATGAAGGTTTAATCAGGGAAAACACTGTTTTTGCTCATGAAGTGAAGTCTTCGCATCACTTTGATCACCAAAAAGTCAAGCACCTATACAGCAACTTTAATTTTTATTTAGATCTTAATCATAAATTCAGTTATATTTACCTTATATGTCATATTTTACTTTTTTGTCATATGCCACATCAAATCTTTGGGATATAAGAAAGTAAATCTTTTTCTCTCTGAATCCAGAGATATTATAGTTACTCCTGACTACAAATGTCTACAAAGCTACGATACAGCTCCCCAAACTAAAGTATAATGGGCATGAAACTCAAGTATTCATGCTCTTATTTCTAAACAATGCAAAGTTAATTTAATATGAATTTTCATGAATTTTTCATACTTGAGTTAAATTCGTAAAGGGCATTTAAAAGTAAGGATTTGGGATATAAAATGTTAAATGTCATATAATTACCCAGCATGTTTTAACAGATTAAAATACTTCCCTGTCTTTCTACTGTCAAATATATACGGAATTCCTTGTGTAGGAGCTTATCATCAAACCAAATGCTTTATACTCAGTGTGAAAATTCAATCACAATTGTCAAAGATCAAGCTGCTACTTCTGATAACAAATATGATGAGATATCATCTTGTTCAATATATGCTTTCAACTTGACATGTAGGCTAATAAAAAACATGAAGTTGTAGTATTTATTTTGTTTCTTCCACAACAGAAGGCTCCTAAGAGGGATGATCAAAATACTTAGTATCATTGCATGAAAATAAAGTCAACTCTTTATCTGCAGACAGATTAACTGGTTTGCCAACTAACTGTAGTAAAATAATAACAGCTATGGTACATTTGTAAAAGATTTAAAAATTACTATGCATCAGTGATTGTATCTCAATGAGAGGATATCTATTTATTTTCAACTACAAAATAAACATAAGACACTACTTTTTGTCTTATGACAATAAATTTCATTCATTCAAGCTATTTATTGAGTACTTACTATATACTAACCACTGCAGTAGGCTATCTTACCTCAGTAATCAGACCTAGTCTCCTGTCAACAGCTTTCCTTAGAAGAAGGCATAAGGACATGAGGAAGAGCATGCAGCCAGTTTTTTTGTGAGTCAACTATATAGTTCTGAGATGTAAAACTTAAAGAGGATCACAGACACTTCTGCACGAGGAAACAGACTGTAGTACACGTGTGGCTGTGGACTTAGCTTTCCCCTATCTTGCCCCCCACCCTGTTTTTCTTACTTTGCCTTCCTTTTCAGGGAAAGCCTGAATCTGCCATTCTTGCTTGCCTCCTTCTCCTTCAGCTTCCAAGTTCATAACCAGCACACCCTGACAATTCCTCATATGTCCCTGAATTTGTATACTTCCCTATATCCCCACTACATTCTACCTCAAACCCCTCTGCCATTACCTTAGCTTGGAACTCCATCATCTCAAAGCACAATGATAGTTAACTTAGTGGACACTCAAACCTTTGCCAAATAATTTAAAAAGGAAGCTTCAATCATATGCCCTTTAAGATACTGAGGTAAACAAGAGTAGAATAACAACAAAAAACCCCTGATCTTATTCTCCTTTGAGCAATCACTTCAAACATGCCAGTAGCAATATCTCCCATTCGTTGCCTAAGGTAGACAATTAGGAATTATCTTTGACCTTTCTCTCTTCTCTGCCATCTCCCATACCATCCTTCCTATTACCTTCTCAGTTTGGTTTCCTCTGTTGCTCTCTTAGGTCTCACACTACATGTCAGCCAAACACCAAATACCTCCTCACTGTAACCCTCTAACCCAGCGCTGTCCAGTAGAACTTTATGCAATGATGGTAATGGGCCATATATATGCTGCCAATGGGTATGGACACTGAACACTTGACATGTGGTGAGTGTGACTGAGAAACTATGTTTTTAATTTTATTTACATTTCAACTAATTTGAATTTAAGTAGCCATATATGTTTAATGGCAACAGTACTAAACAGTGCAGCTTAATCTTTTTCTATACTGCTGACAGACATATCTTGCTACAAAACATCTGATCATATTACTTGCCTTACAGAATGTGTCTCCATAAAATCCCCATCATTAGGCAGGATATTCAAAGCTCTTTACAATCTAGACCAACTTCCACCTCAGTCTCATTAGCCCCACTCCTTTCCCATCTAGTTTGCACAGGTAGTAGGCCACTCACTGTACTCACACATGCCGTGCTATAACCCTTATGGAAGCTGCTGACTCTTGCTTAGAATGCCTTTTCCTCTCACAGAACATCTGCTCATCCTTGAAGATCCAGCTTAAATTCTCATTTCTCTCTGAATACCTAACTACCCTCTCATGGCTGAGCTAGGCTCTCTGTCTAAACTCTGCTGCCATACTTTTTATATATGGCTTCATTAAAGTATTTAATCATAATTAATGGTTTACATGTGGAAAATATGAGTATCATATATGCCAGGTAAATATTAATCACATACATTAAAGAGAGAATCTGGCAAAGCATCTGGCACAGGACTTCACTCTGAGTAAGCCCAGGATAGATGTGCCAGGTCTTCAGGATGTGTTTTAGGAATTGTATCGCCCATGCTAGCGATCTTCACCAAATACAGCTGCCTAAGAAAACAGAGAGGAAAATAAAAGAATGGAGATGGGGCAAGGGCAACACTCACAAGGCACTGACAGAAATGAGAGGCTTAGGCCAGGGAAATTGTACAAGAAATTTCATGCAGTAAACCTATAGGTAAAGCTGAACTTGTTTTTCACCTTCCCTACCTAACTGGCAATAGCAATAATCAAATTCCTTAATCAGAGAGTGTAGTTGTTACGAGGTCAAGAACAAGAAAACGGTTTTCTTGTGATGTGTAACTGAGAAGAATTTGTTGCAAGCAGATCAATAAAGCCCTATTACTATGGCCCACTCCTCAGGAAAGAGCTCTGTTTTACAAAACATTGAATATATTTGCTGTAAGGAAATTCAACCTATGAAAAACACAGAAGGAAACAAAGGCTCTAAACTTACTCTATTTTCATGTCCTCTACAATTATATTTAGATAGAAACACTTCAAAATAAATGATATCTGAGTTGCATGTATTTCCAAAATAATAATTTCCCCTTTATATAAAGGGGTCTCTGTTTTCTCTCCTTTTAGTCTGCTTTTGAAAGCAATGCAGAGAAATATTTAAATAGTTAAAAGGTAAAAATGTTAATGGCAATCCTAAGCAATATTCAATATATATACAGGTATCTGAACTGAGTAAGTATGAGTCAGTATTAATAATATTTTGATGTTCCATTTCATTGGTTTGAGAAAGTATAGGTTTACGACACAATTTTGTTATTAAATAAAATCCTTGAGTTGGATTTACAGATTTAAGAAAATTAGTATTTGGATTTAGTTCAGAGGTTGAGTAAATTAGCTCAGTTCACTCTGGGTTTGAGTTCATGGTTCAGTTCAAGTTCTTGATAATGAGCACATCAAAATAAAAAATATTTAAATAATGTAATCAGGGCTGACATTTAAGAGCAAGTGTTCAGGCAAATATGTGGTTTTAAAAAACAAACTCACTTTACAGAGAGAGCTAAGGTTAAATCCGAAGGTTTGAGCATTCCGAGAGCCAGCATTCATGTAGTTTCCCATTAGCAAAACAAGTTCCAGCAACTTGCTAAAGCTTTTGCTCTTCTTTATCTCTTCGCAGGCAGTACTGACAGCCATGATGTCAGGTTTGATGTTGTTCACCTGCTCTTCAAACTGAAGCTTAAAGAGAATAGCACTGAGCCGTGGCCGTAGTCTCTTCACATTGCTCATCTGATTGAAAAGAAAACAGCAGATTTCCTTTAAAATGCATGGTATACTTTAGTACTGTACGACTGCAAGTAATCTGGGATGATTTATTGGTATGACAGTACCGAAGAAGCAATATGTCTCCCAAAACTGATAGCAGGAAGAGAGAAAAGCCCTGCTTGTTTGTGTAAGGAATCCAGAGTCATCCCTCAAAACCCAAATTAACAATTTGGATGCTCAATGAAAAGAAAGCTTTAATTAAATGATAATGTTTAATTAAGCAATAAAGTAAGCATTTTTTAAACTAAATTCTAAAAAGGTAACACGATACATAGGCCACAAATTACAAGGCATTCATGTCATTATTTTGAATAATTTTTGTTCAATACTGCAATATACTGGGTCATATTTAAAACATATTCAGAAAAGTCTAAAGAGGGTTTGTTTTTTTCAAATAGCAACTGCTGTCCTCAGAAACCCTGCTGACTAACAGTATGTGTTAGATAGAGGGAGAGTAAATAGGTCCCAATTTGTACTAAATTGACTTTCTTTAGAAACACAGGAAAGTAGAATGACTCCTGACACATACTAAATTAGCAGAATCAGAGTTAGGAAACATGGGAGTAGCAGAACCGCAGAAGCAGTGCAAACCCACAAATCTATCACATACCAAGTTAACCCTGTCTGGGACTCTGGGTTTCTCTATTGGGAATGTGGGGGACTGGAGATGTCTAAAAGAACAAAGGGGCAAGTTCCTGCCTTTATCCTTACTCCTGTGTTATATCAACACACATGCAAGAAATAATCAATTAGGTGTAGGCTGAAGATATACCACATATTAAGCTAGATACGAATTCCTTGACCAAACATATTAGGGATTCAGGACTTAAAATGCACTGAAGGGGCAGTAATAGTAAAATTGTTGAACTTCGACTATTGTAAATATCAAAAGCAGGTTAAGACAAGGTCAGAAAAAAAGGAGGGACAGGTTAAAATAGGGACTGTTTCTCTTAGTCACAGACTGTAAAGGAAAGGCTAAAAAACAATGCTATATGAAGCCTGTAGGGTGCCAAATATAATGAAAATCATGATTGTTTGGGACACAGAAAGCTATCAGTTCATAATATAATAATGACTGTTACTTAAAGTATACTAGACAAAGGCTTATTAGACTCCAGTATTTTATAGACACTGCCTTAATGACTTAACATAACTCAGCTTACTCACCTGACAAAAATTGAGCAATTAGTTCTTTGTACACAACTCTGAGAGAGTATTTTCATATAGACCAAAGCCTTATAGTGAATGAAGAGTTCCATTTTCAAATAATATAAATATCTAATTTATACTTAGCTTTCTCCCCAGCCCCTTGCCAAATTAAGTGGTTATGTGTATACAATCAAGATTCTAAGAGCTCAATTAATGTAGTTATTAATAAGAAGTTTACTTTACAAGGCACTTTAAGGAACGTCTTCATATTCCACTGTCTAGGAAAAGAAAAGAATGTAAGCTCAACTTAAGGACCAACAAAAAAAAAAGAAGAAACATCATTAAAAGCTTACAGGTAAGTGTAGCGATATAAAAGTTATAAAGAGACAAAGAGATGCACTATTAGAATATTGATTCTTACTGGGCATGAATTGTTCTTTTAAAGCACAGTATTCACTTATCACAAAGACTTTTGTCGTAAAATATATGTCTCCAGATGGGTTCACTTGCCTGGATTTTTTTTATCCTTAACCATTGCAAAAGGAAGATGTTCATATGACATTGGTAACATGAATAATGCCTTGTTACCGTAATATGTCCTTTAGAAGCAGTCAGGCGTGCAAAGAGCACTCACATGCTAGCAACTGTAGTTATGGCCATTCTAAAGAATTCTAACGGGCTCTTTAGCATCTCTGTTTTCAGTAACTGCCATTACTCATGATTATGAAGCCAGATACTTGCAATAAATGAGAAAGAAATTATCCAGTATTCTGTCACAAAACATTTGTATTACAAAATATATTTAAAAAAAAAAAAAAAAAAAAAAAAAAAAAAAAAGAAGAAACATCATTAAAAGCTTACAGAGTAAGTGTAAGCGATATAAAAGTTATAAAGAGACAAAGAGATGCACTATTAGAATATTGATTCTTACTGGGCATGAATTGTTCTTTTAAAGCAGTGATCACTTATCACAAAGACTTTTGTCGTAAAATATATGTCTCCAGATGGGTTCACTTGCCTGGATTTTTTTTATCCTTAACCATTGCAAAAGGAAGATGTTCATATGACATTGGTAACATGAATAATGCCTTGTTACACGTAATATGTCCTTTAGAGCAGTCAGACGTACAAAAGAGCACTCACATGTAGCAACTGTAGTTATGGCCATTCTAAAGGTGTCTAACGGGCTCATAGCATCTCTGTTTTCAGTAACTGCCATTACTCATGATTATGAAGCCAGATACTTGCAATAAATATGAGAAGAAATTATCCAGTATTCTATGCAAAACATTTGTATTACAAAATATATTAATTCTAATATATATTAATGTACTACTATTTTCATGCACAGAAGAAAAAAGAGACTGCTTAAATGCCTACATTATACCACCCCAAAATATGTTAAAGCTTTCCTGCTGACAAGCTAACCATATGTAGCCAGCATAAAGTAATTAATTCTCCTAGAAAAATATAACCTAGATTTGTATGAATAATGAGTGTATCTGGCACTAGGGACAGGTACCTTGAAAAGACAGAGTAAGTCTATGATGTAATGCAGAACAAAGTGCTACGAGTTCATGAAAATCCCTGACAAGGCAAAGTCAGGAAAGTAACCTAAAAACAAAGCTTTGAACGACACTTTAAAAACAATTAGATATCCTCTTCCTAATGTTCTTTCTTCCAAGTTTAGATAAATCAGTATTTGACTATTATTGAGTAAATGTATTTTAATGAACAAAATTATTGAGTGGGAAAGGAACTTGAAAGGTCACCTGGAGATGGTGCCTGTCTTTAGTTCACTATTTAGCCATATGATGACCCCTAGGCCAAATGGTTGCCCTTTTTATTTAACAACAAAATATCATTTAAGGTTAATGCTCCAAGATCTAAACCTTGGAATCTATGATAATAACAGAAGGGTTATTTTTCTTTTTTTAAGGCAGAGTCTCACTCTGTCGCCCAGGTCGGAGTGCAGAGGCACAATCTCCACTCAATGCAACCTCTGCCTCCCGGGATCAAGCAATTCTCCTGCCTCGGCCTCTTGAGTGGCTGGGATTACAGCCGTGACCTACCACGTCTGGCTAATTTTTTTGTATTTTCAGTAGAGACAAGGTTTCACCATGTTGATCAGGCTGGTCTCTAACTTCTGACCTCAAGTGATCCGCCCACCTAGGTTTCCCCAAGTGCTGGGATTACAAGCATGAGCCACTGCACCCAGCCCTTTTCCTCTTTATTTGATCAAACTATTTCTTCAGGTGGAATCAAATAAAAAAGGTTCAGAGGGGGGAAAATATATGTATATGTAAAAACCCTGACCAATGTTTCCCCATCCTCACCACTTCTCATATTCTATCAACATTGGAGGTTTGCATTCTGTTTTCCTGCTAAGAAAACTAAACTTCTGACTTGTCTAAGACTAAGTGGAATGCAGAAATGGAGAACTATGATGCTCAAATAATATTCTGAATGGCAACAGAAAGTCATTTTTAAAAACGAGAAGAAGGAAAGGATAAAAAATCTATAAACATAAAATGTAAGCTAGTTAATAATTAGAATGTTAGAAGAAATTAGAATTTCATTTTTACAATTATCCTTTAAATCTATTGTTTTGAAGTCTTAGCAATACAAATTCACGAAACTCAAATCTATGACAATAGTGAGATGTAATCTGAAGATCAATCCAAAAAAGTAAAAATACATTGATTTCACTCCTGTTTTTCTTGAAGGCAAGGAGCAGTACTCCTGTAACCTCCCCACCCACAGATGTCACATGTCAGAATGAAGAGATCTTAAAAGCAATGACTGGTAAAAATGAAGAAGCAATATCCAGAACCCTAAGGGTAATTTTATTTCAAAATTTTGTTTGTTGGCAATATATGTTGTTGGAGAAGGAACAACGTAAAAAGACCTTTAGAAAAATCAGTGAACCAACAAGTATTGAATGGGCCCCATTCAGTGCTGTGAGGGGCACAGGAGCCATAGCAGCTGCCCCTGCAGCCCTTATCATTGAATTCTTTCTGCCTGTCTTAAGGAGTAGAAAACTGGAAAGGTTCCCAAGAAGACGTAATCTCTCGTAATCTCATTATGGTTATATTTTTGACATATAATTTTAATTTTATCCATTATTCTATATGGAAAAAAATCATTTTTACAACAACTTTGTTTAACACCATATCTAGTTTTCTTTACACATTTTCTTTTATAAATACAGGTTGTCTGATGTTTTTTTCCCCCTGTCCTACTATGCAGACTTACATGGCACCCCTCAAAAGGATTTATTTTTTATTCTTTTTTATTCTTCCCTGAAGTCATTATGAAACTAACTGTTCACTTAACTTTCTAACAGTACAATAACCTGCTGACTAGGAATTTACTGGCCTCAGTCTTAATTTATAATACTCTAAAAGCATTAGTTCATATACTTGGTAGATATCACATTATAAGGAATAATAGAAAAGCATTTCAGGAAGGTGAAATGACTCTTTCAAGTCACCTGGCGAGTAGGACCCAGGCCTAGAGCTAACTTGCTGCTAATCAACTGTCCTTAGCACTCAGAGCATCACAATGTGGGAATTAATAACTACAATTTACAAATCATCTGGAACTCAAACTTCCTCTCCTATGTTTTCTTGTAAGAATGAACTTTAATTTCTTCACAGTAGTTATCAAGTAACACACTACAGAAAATGACCCTGCAATGAGCTCTGCCTGCCACCTGTACGATCTCAATATTTCTTACCTTTCTCCTTAGTATACCCAACTACCTCCTATTGTGCTGAATCTTTAATACTTTTTCAGATCTACTTTTGTTGTCC